CTCTTCCCTGAGAAAGCTGAGTGGCTCACTACGCCACTTTATTTTACATCACCCTGAAATGTCATCTCCTCAAAAAGGCCCTCCATCATCCCCTCTGTCACACCAAGCTCTCATGCCTATTTTATTTCTCTTTATTTCTCTTCATAGCGCGTAAGACATTTATTTTCCTTAGCGTATGTCTACCCTAAAAAACAGCAGACCCCATGAGGATAAGAAGTCTTACTTTTTCCCCTCTTCTGAACCCTCAATACCCAGAACTGTGTCGAGTACAAGGGAGGCACACAATCAGCTCAATGGCCGAATGCACTGTACGTTGGCAACAGCCCATTGTCACCGAGATAGACACTCACCTAGCATTGTTTTTAGTTCCCATAAACAAAGGGCACTACAAACAGCAAGCAAGTCACTATTCTATTAAATTGCCTGTCTGTCAAAAAGACCACAAACGCACAGTACAAAACACATCTGTTGCATTAGGGATCTTAAACCTCTTCGAATTATTGTGATTATGAAATCAGGTGAATATTCATACCGGATCAACCAACCTCTACTCTCCCAGCTCTACACATTAGCTGGTAGGGCCTCTAGGACATGCACCTCCTACACGCCGTTAGTGGGTCTGCACTCTACGACAACGCTTCAAAGGACACACACATCCAACTCCCAGAAAGGAGCCTCCACCTTCCTGCAACCCCGGGACGAGATCCAGGTCCTAAATTCTCCTTAAGCATCTCCCCCTGCCCTCTCGGTTCGTCCCCTACACAGCTCTCACTTGGACTTCCCGCCAGGATGTTCCAAACCGTCTACTCGGGCGTCCCTCCGATGTACTGGGTACTCTGCTACCAAGGCGGTCACTTTGACATGCACATCCACCATCTGTATTCTTTCTTAGAAAGCGTCAATGGTTTCACCTACCTCTCAAGAAAACTCCCAGCTTCCTCATTCGGCTTCACTCCCTTCACTGCCTGTATTCTCCCCCACCACCTCCCGCCGCAAGCAAACACAACATGCTTCCCATCGATTCCGATTCCACCACTGCAGACTCCTCCTTAAGGTTTTCGGCCAGTCACTTTGTTCTCCATTTTCCAATGTTCTTCTCCTTCAGTCTGAAACACTCTCCTCTCCCCTTCTTTGCCTAGGTAGGGCAAGCTTTAACACCCTCACCCCCCACCCTTTTAACACCCTCACCCCCCACCCCCTCCCCCGTACACTTGGCTCTGACTTGAATGTCTGCTTCTGTCCTCCCACAACACTTATCACAATTACTATGTGTTGAAATGAATTCTGCTTGATTTTTCCGTGTTTCTACTGAATCATGAGCTCCTTGACAGCAGGTCAGACAGCGTATTCACGTGGTATTCATCGCCTTACACATGGAAGGGCTGTGTTTAAATGCATGATTTACGAAAGGACCAAAACCAGACAGAGGGAGGGGAGGAGGAAAGGGAATAAAAAATGGAGGGGGATGGAAGGAGGTAAGGGAAGAGTTGAAAGAAGGAGAGAAAAGAGAGAACACGCACACAGGACAGGCCCTTAAGAAGGGCATTCTCAATCAATCCACCTTTTCTTTTTCTTTTTTTTTAGGCTTTTTTTCTACAGAGCACATGCACTTGCTGGGCAGAGAGAGAACAACTGGTCCCCCAAAGAGATGGCCATGCCACAGTCCCTTTTCCCACACACTCCCCTCGAGACTTTGGGCACACATATACAATGTGCCCAATGTGATTTTCAAGCCGCCAAGTCTAGGACTCCAACCACACAGCCAGCCATGTGGGAATCCAGCACCTTAACCACCGTGCCACCTACTGGCCCAATCCACCATTTGTATGTAGTCTAAGCCGGCAATTACAGGAGAGAACAGTACATTTTAAAAGCCCTCCACCCAGACTTAAAGCACAACTTCCAGACTCACGGATGCCCTGAGATTCTGATATGGCAAGCCCATCTAGCACATCTCACATGAGAACGTACTGCAATGTAAGGAAAGATGTTAGTGACATGGACGACAAAGAGGCAGAAAAGTCTTAAAAACGAGGTAGGAAATGAATTTGACAATTAGTTACCTTGTAGGATTACTTACAAATTTTACTAATCTACAACTTCCTGACCTTGTGTTATCATTAACATCGACAGGTCTATCAAAAGTATGATAGACTTTTGAACAGAACACTAATATCACGATCTATTTTAAAGCTGGAATTACTTGTGCTACAAGTAAAATATCTCCAAAACACACTGCAAAAATATCACACTCTAAAGAATCTGAATCAATAAAGGGGCTTTTTAATTTGCTTGCTAAAAGCGATAGTAAGTATTGTTTAGTACTCTAAGTTTTTAGTTACCTCAATAAATTATTTAATACAATTTTAAAACATTTTGCCAATAATAGAACAGACAGTTCAAACTTAAAACTTTGCTCCAAAATATGAAATGTCTGGCAAAATCCAATAAATGCCAAAAATCCTTCAAAAGCTCCATTGTCATTACAATATAGAAATTGAGAATCAGAACAAAAGACAATTTAAGCCCAATATAAACAATACTACATACATCTTGAATTGCAATTTTTGCTAAAGCAAAACACAAAACGGATACCTTCTCATCTTTCACCACATAAAAAAGTTATATAAAATGGTTAAGCTTTCAGTAATAGCAACTCCCAAGACTTGCTACAGTAAAAACAGAAAGTTCTTTCTGTACAAAATTAGTTTTGTTTTGTATTGTTTTGCCATAGGGTGCAGGCTTCCCAGAGACGGAGAAAGGAAAAGGGAGAAATCACCCCCTAGTAGGGATGGCCTCACTGTGATCCCTACCTCTCCCACCCTCCTCTTGGGATTTTGGATATGCACGTGTGCACCATGATTTGCACACCGTGGGGTCTGGGACTCAGGACTCAATCCCCGTCAGCCATGTTGGCCACAAGGGAGTCAGTACCTTAACTACCATGCCACTTGTTGGACCCAATAGTATTTTTTTTTAAAAGGCTTACAGTAAGAATGGAAAAGTTAAGCATTGAAATCAGCAGCTCTAAAGTGATACCAAAACATTTGCATTTGCCTAATACTTACCATGAAACTTTTAAGGCTAAAGTTTCTAACAGACTTTCATTTTAAGGAGACCAAAAAAAGGAAACGAAAGAAAGAAAAAAATTGTAATCCAAGAAGACCTTCACCCTGACTACATTTGTTTTTACCGAACATTGTCAGCATACTGAAGATGTGCCAGGTACTACACTGGGAACTGTGACAGTAACTCCAAACTCAACCATTATTTATCTGGCCTCTCAGCTTAATGTACTATCTGACATAACACTTTTTTTGAGAAACTCATCCACCACGAAGGTAGCTTTATGGCTTTCCTAGTAAGTAACTTTTCACTGTCTTACACAGGTCATGGGAGTTCGTGACTAGCAAATGGGATGCATTTCTCAAACATCATCGGTGAAGTCTTCATTTACAAACTGAGGCAGTTGATAGCTCCCTAAACTCAAAAGGAAAAAACTTGAAGAAAACTGCACCAGCCCTAATTGCTTCTTAAAGCAGGATTTACATAGCTCTGTCCCACAATCAGGACCAAACACACTTTTGCATGGACACACTACTGTACAAGCAGTCTTGGTTCTGAAAAGAAGCGAAATTCGTTTTCCAAACAACAGTTCAAAAGATCCATCAAAAGCAGACACCGTTTTCGAGCACTTCTGAATTTAAAAGGAGAGGAAAAAAATCTGCAAGTGACTAAGTTCCACCAGTTGAATCTAGACAGACATTTCAGGTATCTAAGGCTTTTCATTCTAGAACATATTAAAGAAAAAGAGAAAATTCATTTACATATTCTCTAAAGTGAAAATAACAACCCGTACTTTCACTGCTGTCCTTTCTTCCAATTAAACAAACAGTACTTTTTAGACCCTCTCCTCCATTTAGTTAATAAACCGAGCCTGCTTTCCACACATCACACTGCAACAGAGCATCCCTCCATCTGCAGACCAAACAAATCAATAACGAAAAATAAACCATACAAACCAACCCCGGAAATACAAGAAAAACTGCCATCTCTGAGTTGTCTAAAGATCACCAAAATCCTCCTCGGAAATTTTTTAACCAAGATTATCTTTGTGGCTAACCATACAGGTTTTCTGTTAAAAATTAACAATACTGTTCGCACAATAAGAGATTTTCTTTCATCAGTGTAACCGATAGAAGCACAATCCAATTCAGCTTCTGGAGTCGGATTTCTGACCTGCTTTTTGCTTTACCTGTGAAGTCACTTCCATTCGTGCCGTTATGCCTTATCATTCCGCGCAAAAAGAGCGGCTCTACACCAGCGAATCTGTCGGCGAGACCCCAAGCGGGGCCGGCGAAGCCCCGCGGCCCAGCAGGCGAGCGTCGCCGCGCGGGCAGGGGCCGGCCCCCCTCCGCGGCCCAGCCACGACCCCGGCCGAACCCCGACTTCCTGAATTCCATCGCCCCGCAGGCTCGCTTTCTGCAGGGCTCTTACCTTCATGACGACTCCGGGACCGCGACCCCCTCGGAAACACCAGATTCACCTGCACCTGGAGGGGGAACAAAAGACGCCGGGTCAGCGCCCGCAGCTCCGCGGCTCTGCGCCCGCCGCGGCTGCCG